GGATATATCAAACGCACCTGATTGGTTAATTAGTCTCTTAATGTATAATACTTTTGTTTGTGGAAACACCACGTAAATTTATTACTGCTAAGCTTTCGATCCGAAAAGCTACCTAATGGTAGCGGTAGTAGAAGTCTAATCTGAACCTATTATCATGCAGTGACTTATGATGACTATAATGCACATGCAATGTCACAACACTGGGGGTGCAACAAACCAAAGATCGGGGGGTTCGATTCCCACCGCAGTCAAGCAAACTTTTCAACGTGCTCGTTGTGCATACACAGAGTAGAATCATCTCAAACTATGCAATTCATTTCTGCATAACTCGAACTGAAAGTTGAACAATTTCCCAGGCTTACTGAAAAACTTAAAGAATACCATCAGAAGGAAGACGAGTGGAGTGAACGTTTTGGTCGCGAAATGGAAGCAAAAACAAAATTACAAAAGGTATCACAGAAGAAAACTGTAAAATCTAGTGTGGATTTAGTGCTGATGGGTTTAGTGTTTACGTATTAATGTTTTACCTGTAGGCCTACAAAGACCTAGAGCAAAAGTTAGAGAAAGCAAGCACGGACAATACAAAATTAGCTGGGCACCAAAATCTTAGACAAAAAATTCAATATATAAGTGACATGAAGAAAGACTACCAATTATTGAAAGAGGTATGAGGTTTTCAATCAAACTAAACGTACTCTATTTATACTGGAAAGGTGTGTCAGTTCTTGACTGTTTTCCCTAGACACCCATAATGTGCTATCCCTTAATTGTTCAGTGTTGCTTCAGGAGGAGATAGGTTCTTTATAGTTAACTAAAAGTATTTGAGAACAGGGGAGGGGACGCGTAGCGTTCCGAGCAAGCCTGTTCCGCAGCAGGGTCTGGGGGCACAGTCGCCTGTGGGGATAAGGTTGAGGTAAGGGAGTGAGGCCCAGGAAATTTTGAGATTTTTGGTCTTATTTAGTTCAAAATCTTTATTTCAATCATATAGTACTACTGTCATTTAATTCAATGAGCATTTAAATTTCTGGGGGGGGGAAGGGGTGTGCAAATTTCTCTAGGTGGGTGGGAAAACGTTCTGAGGGGTGCTCCCAGATAACATTTTCGTCCATTTCCGTTTAGGAAAACCAGAAATTAACCGCCAAATACCAGAAGCTTTTATGTGAGAAGAACGAAGAGAATCGAAAACCTCTGGCAATAAAAAACGAGAACGTGTGAAAATGAGAAATGATCAACAGGATTTGTAATCCGTGAAAATTTGTAAGATATTGTTTTATTTTTCATATAATATAAGTTATGACAAGGTAAGTTTTGCTTCTTGTAGAATGCTCTACTTTTAGTAAAATGAATACTAGATCTTAAAGGTGATCTACAGTCCGATCTGCGCATGTGCACAAATGAGCCCACTTTTTATGATACAAACAGTTTAACTATGTTTTGAGTTCTTGAAAAGCCTGATTGTTGTTTCTTGAACATTTATTATACTCTAGAAGCTTGAAAATATAAATAGTTGTCGAATAAAGCTCAATATTTTGGACACAAACATGTAAACAAAGGCTTTGTTTACATACGGACTGTAGATCACCTTTAAGATATGTATATCGTATTCGGTTGAATTCGAAGTGAGTCGTGTACCAATGCGCAAGTACGAAAATGACATGAAAATAGAATTATTTATGTGAGCAGGAATTTAGTGACTAGTCAACATGGCGGCCATACGAGGGTTGGTGGTTTCGTGAGGTTTAAAACAGCTGTTGTTTGCTGCTAGAGAAATTCACGTACATCGTATTTGCCGCTTGGTGATGGATCAAGGACAAGATGAGTAATGAATATATCACCAGATGATGTGGGGTGATGGTAGACATTGCAGGGAAGGTAGCGAAGTTGAGATGGTGTGAACATAAGATGAGATGAAGGAGAGCCAGTCAGAGACATGGAATGAAGAGATCTGAAGAAGATGTGGAGTGGTAGACATTGTAAAGAACGTAGCAAGGCTGAGATGGTGTGAACATAAGATGAGATGAAGAGAGCCAGTCAGAGACATGGAATGAAGAGATCAGAAGAAGATGTGTTGTGGTAGACATTGCAGGGAATGTAGCAAGGTTGAGATGATGTGAACATAAGATGAGATGAAGGAGAGCCAGTCAGAGACATGGAATGAAGAGATCAGAAGAAGATGTGGTGTGGTAGACATTGCAGGGAATGTAGCAAGGTTGAGATGATGTGAACATACGATGAGATGAAGGAGAGCCAGTCAGAGACATGGAATGAAGAGATCAGAAGAAGATGTGGTGTGGTAGACATTGCAGGGAATGTAGCAAGGTTGAGATGATGTGAACATAAGATGAGATGAAGGAGAGCCAGTCAGAGACATGGAATGAAGATGTG